TGCCTCGTGACTTCAACTGTAAAATCTTACAAAAAAAAAAAAACAGCCTGAAAAAATATATGTCACTACAAAACATCACGTGATGAAAGACGTAACTGTGAAACAGGCGATGAACCAATGAGCTGTCCGTCAACAGACTGAACAACTGTTGACATTTTCAACAACTGACTTCAAGTTGAAACCACAACACACACACACACACACACACACACACTCTCTCTGGCCTCTGATAAACACTCAGGACAGCGCTGTTGTGTTTAAAGCAGGGCGTGAACCTAAATATAGCCTGGAAACCAGGTTCCTCAGGGCAGCCAGTCAGCACCAAGGATACAGGACGCTGTCCCTGGTCCTGAAACTGCAGCAGCTCTGTCGAACAGCCTCAGCTGGACGCGAACGCCACAGGACCGCGGCGTGTTAGCAGGAAACACGTGAGTGTGTTTGTGTGGGGAAAGTTCAGACAAATGAGAGCGAAGAGCCGCGAGCCTTCAGCGCGGTTTACTGCGGGTTTTCACGGTGCAGATAGTTCAACACACACGAGGTGCAATTCCTCACAAGCAACAGTGCGAGGCGCATGTCTGATGCAGTTGAGGGGAGAGGGAAGGAGAGAGAAAGAGAGAAAGAGAGTTTGATTGATCATGTGGGCTATGGGAGCCTGCGAGAGTTGTCGAAAATTGCTGCATAGACGCCCCTCAGGCAGCTATCTGTTACCCACCGACCCCCAGAACCGGGCTGTGGCCGGCGGCAGCACCGTCCTGCCGGGCACCTGTTACCAAAAACAAAAGCACTGAGCCAGAGGCGGTTAAACAGACCCTTCATTCTTCCGGGTTGCACTTCACCGACATGAACTTACCGCAGTCCTCACACAGGATCTTCCCAACATCCTTTTTGAGATTCTTTCCACTCGTGTCCACGGGCGCGAACGATGCCTTGAAAACCGAGGGCTCGTCCGTGGGGTCCATGAAAAAGATATACTTGTGGTTCTTCTTGACTTTGGTGCACGGAGCCTCGAATCCAAAATCCCCCACGGTGACGAGCTGCTCTCGCTCCAGACCCCCGCTGTTCCGGGGCCACACGTCCAGCACTTTGACATTCACACGGTACGGCTCCGCGGAGACG